TGTATTTGCAATATTTAAAATGTAGCCTTTAAAATTTCTTGAGTTTTAGGTTCCACCTACCATTTTAGAAAACTGGGATTTCATTGCAGCTAGTCTATTAGATAACATTTTATAGTTTTGAATGTTTCTTCATCAGTTTACTAAAATTAGGTGGAGGTATGTTCTTATTTCCGACAGAGGGGTACTCAACCTATATCAATTTGTGCATGAAGCGATTGATAGTTGCTAGATACTGAAGAATTTTACCACAAATTTGTGAAAGTTTTAACCGGTGTATATACTTAAAATATGTTAATAAAGTTCATGTCTTTTTCAGGACTTCTGATCCAACCATGTAGTATGGCATGTTTGTGAGATATGGTTTTGGCCAATAGGATGTTCATGAAGGACCTGTAGTACAAAGTATATCACTGGATTGAGCTCATTGTCTAAGTGTATTATTAAAGTGCTTTGCTTTGAGCTCAGTTCATTGTTATGCAATTCATTCTTTGTGAAATAAAGATTTGACAGACAACTCTCATGTACAAGGAATTGTCAAAGTAGTATCCATTCTATGTACAATGTAAGTAATAGGGAGATAAAGGCATTTTATTTAGATTTGAACCAAATATTTTTTGTCCATCAGCCAAATTTAAAAAAAAAAGCACAAATTCACCAAACAATGCTACTCGCGCTACTACAGCAATATAATGCTAGGTTCTTTTGTTACACTTAATTTTTTTACATCTGTACAGCCTACTGGCGACTCAGTCTTGAGTGTAAATGGTCATTCAGTATGTTAAGAAAAAGACCAAAATTTATAAGTCCTATCTGGCCTCATTGATTTCTAAAATATATTTCATTGTACATGTTCAACATTTATCATTCATTTGTTTATTTCTTAATTTGTGTGAATTAACAGTAAATGTTAATTACTACACTTTCATACCATTACAAAACTGCCTTACTGTATTGGTATCACTTATATTTGTATCCATATAACAAAAACAACTGAAAAGAGAATACTTTTGCAATACCTTTTTCATATTGAATACTAAAACTTTTTAGATATTTAGACATATTAATTAGATGTTCATAATATCCACGTGACATTTTATCATATGACTTCTGTATTTAGTTATGAGTCTTTGACGCATGCTCACAAAGGTTCTTTTGTTGATATCATTTTCATACTGGTCAAAACTTTTTTTTGCTTTGACCAGCTTTGGAGGAGATATTTTCAAAGAATTAATAAAAAATAACACTAGAAGTTCACTTTCTAGCCCCAATCATCATGTCAGGCATTGTCATTACTAAAAACCATTAAATGTCTTCTAATCTGAGAAACAATTTCGACATTTAACAGAAATGTTTTACTTATGATACTGACAATCCACCACAAAGTAATATAAATAGAACCATACAAATAGTAAGCAAATACAAGTTCTCAGATACCATCTCCCATATAAAAAAAATTACATTATGAAAAAATGAACCTATTATGTGTTCCTCTCCTAGCTACAAAATGTATCCAAAATCAAAGATGTGGAACATATTCTATCATAATCATTTGGTAGTTAATGCAATAAGTATCTCTTCCATGCCCGTGTTGAACATAAAAAACTAAATATTAAATAAACAGCACCCCTTATGCTCATGTTGGTTGTCATTGTGCAACACAGTTAATACATAGAAAACATAATACATAGAACTCCTTTTATCATATAAAACACTGTCAAACATTCAATCATACTATCCACACTGATCTGTGTCCACACTTGTAACAACAGTAAAATATTTAAAAATTCTACTTTTGGATATTTAAAATGGTGATAACTCACAAAGGAGATATACAAAAATCTTGAAAATTAATAGAGACATTTATTAAGTCCCAGGAAACAACATATTTAAATTTGAAAAAAAAAATTGTTAAAGCGTTTTCATGTTATTGTGCGGACACTGTTTGGCAGCCGCCAAACCGCCCAGCCGCCCCCGTATATCACCGTTTTAATAACCGATATTTCCTTCGAAAATCCGGTTAAAAATGAAAAAAAAGAAAATTTCATAAAAAGTTCAATGAAAACCTATGTGAAATAGTACTAGTTCAACAATGCATAGCACAAGATCAGCTCAATTTGGGGAATCTACACTACCTAGTAGGATTAAAAATATTAGTAGTCCCCTAAAACCTACAACTATACAGCAATTATACTACCACAAAATCTTATTTTTTCATGAGTCCCCTCATTTTTTTACAATGTGTAAAGTCCACTAAAGTAAAAGAAGGCCAAAAATATTTTGTTTATTTAACCCCTTACATTTTTTTAGTCAGGATGGCCATGGTTAGTAAGGGAAGACATCAGGCACCAGTTTGCAAAGAAACACTCAAATGTGGTCAATGGTTCATATGATCTGTTTTTTTCAGAGAAAATAAATAAAAGAGAAAACTAATCAACCACTATAGAGGGATACCTCACGCCATATATTTGGGCTTATTGACCTAATGAAATAAGAAATATAAAATACATACAAAACGTTGAATCATCCTGTGAAAAAGAGGTGTTGACCTATTCAAATGGAAATAACAAACAAGTCTATGTAAGATTTAACTTAAATTTCGAAATAATAAAGAGCTGGGCCATGAGTGCATGATATGCTCGTCGTTTTTTCAAAGAATAAAGTTCCATAACTCCTCAATGTAAAAAAAAATGTATAAAAAACTAAAGGCAAGTTATTTCAATAGATATAAACCAGTCACCAAAGTTTCATGAAAACTGCTCAAAGCACTTTTGAGTTATTGTCTGAAAACTGGATCCCCCCTTTTAAGAATAAAATCTCATAATTTAAAAAGAACCTAAAATCTATAATTTATAACAATCAAAAGGGAGCTTACGTCAACAAATATAAACAATTCACCAAAGTTTCATGAAAACTGCTCAAAGCATTTATGAGTTATTGTACGAAAACTGGAAAATCACCCTTTTCTAATTAATAAAACCCAATAACTCGGAAAAGAAAAATCTAAAATCTATATAAATCAACAGGGAGCTCACATCAATCTATATAAGCCATTCACCAAAGTTTAATGCAAAATTGGTTAAAGCGTTATTGAGTTATTGTTCAACATGTTGACGACGGACAGACAATGGTATACCATAATACGTCCTGTAAACAGCAGTATAAAAAGCTGAAGTACAGTTTTGTTGAAAATAAAAAGTAGTGGTCATAGGTAAATTTAAAAAACAATTCATTTTAAAATAAAATGCTCCACAGGGTGCAGCTTGATAAGACCGCAGAGGTCGAACCCTGAACAGTTGGGGCAAGTATCGACACAACATTCAAGCTTGATACAGCTCTGAATTTGGATTGTGATTAAATATTTGACACAGCATAGGTTTCTGACACAGAATGAATGTGGTCTAAGAACTTAAAATTTTTTAAATTGGACATTCACCTATTATGGTCCAATATCCAAAAATCTAAATACATGGTTAGATTCAGCATATCAAAGAACCCAAAGAATTCAATTTTTGATGAAATCAAACAAAGTTTAATTTTGGACCCTTTTGACCTCAATGTGGACAAAGTTGATAATAGGGCCCAAAAATCAAAAATCTAAATACATGGTTAGATTCAGCATATCAAAGAACCCCATATATTCAATTTTTGTTGAAATCAAACAAAGTTTAATTTTGGACCCCGATTTGGACCAACTTGAAAACTGGGCCCATAATCAAAAATCTAAATACATGATTAGATTCAGCATATCAAAGAACCCTAAGAATTCAATTTTTGTTAAAATCAAACTAAGTTGAATTTTGGACCCTTTGGACCTTAATGTAGACCAATTTGAAAACGGAACCAAAAATTAAGAATCTAAATACACGGTTAGATTCGGCATATTAAAGAACCCCAATAATTCAATTTTTGATGAAATCAAACAAAGTTAAATTTTGGACCCTTTGGATCTCAATGTGGACCAATTTAAAAACGGGGCCCAAAATCCAAAAACTAAATACACGGTTAGATCAGCATATTAAAGAACCCCAAGAATTCAAGAATAAAACCCCATTGAAATTGGTCAAGAAATAAGCAATTTATACGAAGTATCTTCTTTTGCACAATACTGTGCAATTGAATATTTCTTGCTATTGCGCAACACTGTACAATTGACAATTTCTTGCTATTGCGCAATATTGTGCTATTGGATATTTCTTGCTATTGCACAATACTGTGCAATTGAAGATTTCTTGCTATTGCGCAATACTGTGCAATTGAAGATTTCTTGCTATTGTACAATACTTATTATATAATAATTTACACATCCTGTTTGGTGTGTATCTCCTACCATAGCATTATTATTTGCTTTTAAATATAAAACAGAAATAACCAACTTAAAATGGAAAATTTTAAAAGAAAAAAAAAGGAAAAAAAGAAAAAAAGGAAAAAAAAAAAAAATCCCCCCCCAAAATTTTTTGAACCCCCTTATGATTCATCACCCATAACTCAATCCCAGCCTTCCCTTTGTGGTATTGTACCTTGCAGTACAATTTCAGGTAGATCCATACACTTGAACACAAGTTATTGTCTGGAAACTAGAAAAATACTTATTTTTGGCCCCTTTTTGGCCCCTTATTCCTAAATGTTTTGGGCAATTACCCCCAAACTCAATTCCAGCTTTCCCTTTGTGATATGGAACCTTGTAGTACAATTTCAGAAAGATCCATACACTTACACACAAGTTATTGTCATGAAACTAGAAAAATGCTTGTTTTTTGCCCCTTTTTTGGCCCCTAATTCCTAATATTTTGAGGCAATTACCCCCAAAATCAATCCCAGCATTCCCTGTGTGATATGGAACCTTGTGGTACAATGTCAGAGAGATCCATACACTAACACACAAGTGATGTCTGGAAGTTACAAAAATGCTTATTTTTGGCCCATTTTTGGCCCCTAATTCCTTAACTGTTGGTACCATAACCCCCAAAATCAATCCCAACCTTCCTTTTGTCGTATTGAACCTTATGGTAAAATTTCATAGAGATCCATTCACTTAAACTAAAGTTAGAGTGCGAAAACCAATGTATCTTCGGACGACGCCGGACGACGCCAGACGACGACGACGACGATGCCAACGTCATACCAATATACGACCGCAAAAATTTTTTGCGGTCGTATAAAAAACATATAGGAAATGTTGACAGGAATATATAGGGAAAATAGTTGTGACATAGCCCTTTGGGCAAGATGAGCTAAAGATAAAAGATTTATTTTATTCTTCAATCATCTAACTTTTGTACAAATAACATGGATAGGAATACATTTTTCCTTTAGTTGTATAATGTACAAATTATACCTTCTGGTACCCTTCTTCTTTTTGAGGCAAAAATAAAAAAAAATACTCTTCATTGTTCACTTAAGGTCGTCCTGCAGAGATATATGCCTAGCCTGTATGTAATTTTGAAAGTGAACTGCATATGTGGAAATTCAAATGGATTTACTTTATAAATATATATACTATTTAAAATAAACAAAGTCATTGAACAATAGCCAAATATTCTCCATAGAAATGTGATATGCCAATGCAAATACAACTGCATATCAAATATCTGAAAAATGACTATAAATGTATACTGACAAAAGTGTTACCTCTCTGACATCTCCTGAAAGCACCATGCTTATATAGCTTATATAGTATAGTTCCAAGTACAGCAAATCCTACTAGTACACCAATAATAACGCCTACCGAAATTCCTGCTGTTGCCTCGTTGTTTTCCTCTGAAACAAGAAAACCATTTGATATATGATATAATAAAATCAAAGCACAGTAAGCGTTGAAGGCAGTTAACCAAAAACCAAGGCAAACGTATTATGAAAACTGTGGCAGTGTTGCTTCAATTGTTTTTTTTAAGATTTGAAAGAACAAACATTAAACATTCGTATATTGTACATTTACGTTTATCTAATGAATTGATTATTAAGGCAAATTAATTAATATTTCATCAAGGTTTTCAAAAGCAATGCATATATATCAATGTAAATGACCCCCATCTTCACCCCAAGTCCATGATTTTACTCCATACCAAGTTTGGAATAAAATGTCAGGTGATTATAAAACAGTTGGTCAAACATTCTTGGGCTTTACACAGCTTGAAAGATTTATATGTTTTCTTTAAAGTGAGCCATAAATGAAAATTATTATAGGTCGAGAAATAATTCAAAAAATAATTAGTGTAAATTCAATTAACCTAGACTCATTTTTTGCATCAATAAAATTTTATAATAAACAAGAAATAATTGTAACAGGATGCCGTCTCCCAAACAAAGCTCCCATAATTTGTCATTCCCATGGTCGCCTGACATTGGGCAAAGTCCAGTACATATTGGTTTGGTCTAGTAAAGTGATATGCATATGTGACGCCTATGGGATTGACCTTATATGTCAGTCAAATCTTTTTGAAATGACGAACAGGAATAAATATGGTTTAGGAGTGGGTGTCTGGACCGTTTACAAGTTCTCAAACAGGAGGGGTGGGGTGACCCCAGGGAAACCCCCTATATTTCATTGGATTTGTTTTATTGTCCCATACATAAATATATATGGTTTAGGTGTAGGGATCTCGACCATTTCCAAGTTCTCAAACAGTAGAGGGTGAGGTGACCCCAGGGACTCCCCCTATATTTCATTTAATTTGTTTTATTGTCCCATACATGAATATATATGATTTAGGGGTGGGGATCTCAACCATTTCCAAGTTCTCAAACAGGAGTGGTGGGGTGACCCCAGGGACTCCCCCTATATTTCATTTGATTTGTTTTACTGTCCTAAACATGAATATATATATGGGTTAGGGGTGGGGATCTCAACCATTTCCAAGTTCTTAAACAGGAGGATGTGGGGTCACCCCAGGGACTCCCCATATATTTCATTTGATTTGTTAAATTGTCCCATACATGAATATATATGGTTTAGGGGTGGGGATCTCGACAGTTTACAAGTTCTCAAACAGGAGGGGGTGGGGTGACCCCAGGGACTCCCCCTATATTTCATTTGATTTATTTTATTGTCCCATACATGAATACATATGGTTTAGGGGTGGGGATCTCGACCATTTACAAGTTCTCAAACAGGAGGGGTGGGGTGACCCCAGGGACTCCCCCAATATTTCATTTGATTTGTTTTATTGTCACATATATAAATATATATGGTTTAATGGTGGGGTGACCTCAGGGACTCTATTGAGCACTATTTCCTATGTGCAACTTCAAATATTATGGGTTGTTCGACGATCATTTAAGGTTATTCTGGTTAAATTTGTTGTATTCCAGAATTAAAAGTATGAAAAAAATGTCCAATTAGTTATAAATAACTTATCAGCCTGCTAGATTATAACAATGGCACTTTTTTCAGCATTCGTTGGGAAGAACACAAATCTAGGGTGCTAGCATAAGGCAGCTTAACTGCCTAAAATTTGTAAGGGTTCCGTGGAACCCAGTGTCTTGCCTACTTTTTCTGTTGTCTATGTTTTCAGTGTGATACGGGAATGCACATAATAGATTTACAGTTAATGAAATAAAATGTTTGAAATGTATGAAAAAAGTTATGCTTGCAAAAAAGTCGCAGGCTCAACAAAAATGGGGAAAAAATTATTAAAATTTTCCTCTAGCATTTTCTAGATACTATATTTTGATTGTAAGAAGCTTGTGTCCAAGTTTGGTAAAAATCAAGGATGGTTTATGAATCTAATAAATGTTTTAAAAACTTTAACTGCAGACTGTATGTAATGTTAGTTGGAAGAAAAACTAAGTCCATTTATAAGTAAAATACGGATAAACAGGATTTTTTTCTCACAAAATTTACTTCTGGATACTATTTTATGATCATAAACAAGCTTCTGTCCAAGTTTAGTACAAATCCAGGATAGTTTAAGAAAGTTATTAAATTTTTTAAAACTTTAACCACAGAGTGAATGTAATTTAACTGGCAGAAAAACTAAGTCCATTTATAAGTAAAATACGGATAAACAGGATTTTTTTTTTTACAAAATTTACTTCTGGATATTATCTAATGATCATAAACAAGCTTCTGTCCAAGTTTGGTAGAAATCCAGGATTAAATTTAGGGTTGGGGATCTTGACCGTTTACAAGTTCTCAAACAGAAGGGTGTGGGTGACACCGGGTACTCCCCCAAATTATTTTCATTTGATTTGTTTATTGTCCCATACAAGTATATATATGGTTTAGGGGTGGGGATTGCGACCGTTTACAAGATAAAAGCGCATTTTCAAATTGAAGGGGGTTGAAATGACCCCCAGGGACTCACCCTATACTTTATTTGATTTGTTTTAATGTCCTTTACTCATTACCGAAGACCGTGTGTGTGTCTATCACTTACTGTTTTCGAGAAATAGTCATTTGAAAATTTAAAAAATAAAACCCCATAGGGTTCTACAGTAAACCCATCCCTTCTTTATGCCCCTCAAAATACTCCTAGATAGACCCCAATGCACAAACAAAAGATTGATGGCTCCGCTAGACATGTAAGTCTAACATTTTATGAAACCCTAAGTAAATCTGACAAGCGGTCGGAGTTGTCTTCTTAGACGGTTACTAAGACCCTGTTCACACTAGCATTTTTCTTTAATCGATCTAAATAAAACCAGTTAGCGTTCACATTATCTTAAAACATAATGATCTCTATCGGTCTAATCTGAACCAGTGCGTTCACACTACAATTAAAAATGCAATTGATCTGACCTTATTACCTGTAAAACTGTAAACATTGTGTATAAATAGAACTAATTTATCAAATTGATGTGTTGATACACTGATACACACACTTGAAAAAACATATTGGATGAAGTTATTGTTTCTCTTGAATCACAAGTTCAAATTTTCATTTTGAAACAAACAAGAGGCTCTCAAGAGCCTGAATCGCTCACCTGTATTTCAGAGGAGAAGATTTTTAAATGTTAGCAAACTTGATGAAAACATTGTGTAAAATTGTCTTTAAAGGGCAATAACTCCTTAAGGGGTCAATTGACAATTTTGGTCATATTAACTTTTTTGTAGATCTTACTTTGCTGAACATTATTGCTGCTTATAGTTTATATATATCTAAAATAATATTCAAAATAATAACAAATAAAATGCTCCGCAGGGCGCAGCTTGATACGACCGCAGAGGTCGAACCCTGAACAGTTGGGGCAAGTATGAACACAACATTCAAGCTTGATACAGCTCTGAATTTGGATTGTGATTAAATATTTGACACAGCATAGGTTTCTGACACAGAATGAATGTGGTCTAAGAACTTAAAAATTTTAAATTGGACATTCACCTATTATGGTCCAATATCCAAAATCTAAATACATGGTTAGATTCAGCATATCAAAGAACCCCAAGAATTATATTTTTGATGAAATCAAACAAAGTTTTATTTTAGACCCTTTTGACCTCAATGTGGACAAAGTTGATAACGGGGCCCAAAAATCAAAAATCTAAATACATGGTTAGATTCAGCATATCAAAGACCCCCATATATTCAATTTTTGTTGAAATCAACTAAAGTTTAATTTTGGACCCCGATTTGGACCAACTTGAAAACTGGGCCCATAATCAAAAATCTAAATACATGTTTAGATTCAGCATATCAAAGAACCCTAAAAATTCAATTTTTGTTAAAATCAAACTAAGTTTAATTTTGGACCCTTTGGACCTTAATGTAGACCAATTTGAAAACGGAACCAAAAATTAAGAATCTAAATACACGGTTAGATTCGGCATATCAAAGAACCCCAATAATTCAATTTTTGATGAAATCAAACAAAGTTAAATTTTGGACCCTTTGGACCTCAATGTGGACCAATTTAAAAACGGGGCCCAAAATCCAAAAACTTAATACACGGTTAGATTCAGCATATTAAAGAACCCCAAGAATTCAAGAATAAAACCCCATTGAAAATGATTAAGAAATAAGCAATTTATACGAAGTATCTTCTTTTGCACAATACTGTGCAATTGAATATTTCTTGCTATTGCGCAATACTGTACAATTGACAATTTCTTGCTATTGCGCAATATTGTGCTATTGGATATTTCTTGCTATTGCGCAATACTGTGCAATTGAAGATTTCTTGCTATTGCACAATACTGTGGAATTGAAGATTTCTTGCTATTGTGCAATACTGTGGAATTGAAAATTTCTTGCTATTGCACAATACTTGTTATATAATAATTTACACATCCTGTTTGGTGTGTATCTCCTACCATATCATTATTATTTGCTTTTAAATATAAATCAGAAATAACCAACTTAAAATGGAAAATTTTAAAAGAAAAAAAAAAAAGGAAAAAAAGAAAAAAAAAGAACCCCCCCCCCCCAAATTTTTTGAACCCCCTTATGATTCATCACCCCCAAACTCAATCCCAGCCTTCCCTTTGTGGTATGGTACCTTGCAGTACAATTTCAGAGAGATCCATACACTTGAACACAAGTTATCGTCTGGAAACTAGAAAAATGCTTATTTTTGGTCCCTTTTTGGCCCCCAATTCCTAAATGTTTAGGGCAATTACCCCCAAACTCAATTCCAGCTTTCCCTTTGTGATATGGAACCTTGTAGTACAATTTCAGAAATATCCAAACACTTACACACAAGTTATTGTCATGAAACTAGAAAAATGCTTGTTTTTTGCCCCTTTTTTGGCCCCTAATTCCTAAAATTTTGAGGCAATTACCCCCAAAATCAATTACAGCCTTCCCTTTGTGATATGGAACCTTGTGGTACAATGTCAGAGAGATCCATACACTTACACACAAGTTATTGTCTGGAAGTTACAAAAATGCTTATTTTTGGCCCCTAATTCCTTAACTGTTGGTACCATAACCAAAATCAATCTCAACCTTCCTTTCGTGGTATTGAACCTTATGGTAAAATTTCATGGAGATCCATTCACTTAAACTAAAGTTAGAGTGCGAAAACCAATGTGTCTTCGGACGACGCAGGACGACGCCGGACGACGACGACAACGGAGACGACGACGCCAATGTCATACCAATATACGACCAAAAATTTTTAATTTTTGCGGTCGTATAAAAACTGCAAAATTTTGTTAAAACTACCAATTTGGTGGCAGCAACCCAACAATGGGTTGTTCGATTCGTCTGATAATTTCAGGGCGGATAGATCTTGACCAATTAAACAATTTTACCCCATGTCACATTTGCTCTAAAAGATTTAGTTTTTGAGATATAAGCCAAAAACTGCATTTGATCCTTATGTTCTAATTTAAGCCATGGCGGCCATGTTTGTCGATAGATACAAACTTCAGATACAATTTATATACAAGATACCATAAGGAACATTTAGTTAAAGGTTGAAGGTAATTGGCCCAGTAGTTTCAGAGGAGAAGATTTTTAAATATTGGCAAACTTGATGAACAAATTGTGTAAAATTGTCTTTAAAGGGCAATAACTCCTTAAGGGGTCAATTGACAATTATGGTCATATTAACTTTTTTGAACATTATTGCTGCTTACAGTTTATATATATCTATAATAATATTCAAAATAATAACAAACTAGAGGCTCTCAAGAGCCTGTGTCGCTCACCTGTATTTACTGATGCTTTGGAAATCATGTAAAATAAGGTAAAAATCATAATTAATAGTATTAGATATTAGATATTATAATGATATCTAAGATAATAACAAAAAACTGCAAAATTTTTGTAAAATTACTAACTCAGGGGCAGCAACCCAACAAAGGGTTGTCGGATTCGTCTGAAAATTTCAGGGCAGATGAATCTAAATCTGATGAACATTTTTGCTACCTGTCACATTTGCTCTAAATGCTTTCGTTTCAGAGTTATAAACCAAAAACTGCATTTTACCCCTATGTTCTATTTTTAACCAAGTCGGCCATGATGGTTGGAAGGCGGGGTCATTGGACAAATTTTTAAAACTAGATACCCTAATGATGATTATGGCCAAGTATGGTTAAATTTGTATCAGAAGTTTCAGAGAAGAAGATTTTTGTAAAAGATTACAAAAATTTACAAAAAATTGTTAAAAATTGACTATTAAGGGCAATAACTCCTAAAGGGGTCGACTGACAATTTTGGTCATGACAACTTATTTGTAGATCTTGCTGTTTACAGTTTATCTCTTTCTATAATAATATTTGATCTTGCTGTTTACAGTTTATCTCTATCTATAATAATATTTAAGATAATAACCAAAAACAGCAAAATTTCCTTAAAATTACCAATTCAGGGGCAGCAACCCAACAACAGGTTGTCAGATTTGTCTGAAAATTTCAGGGCTAATAGATCTTGACCTGATAATCAGTTTTACCCTATGTCAGATTTACTCTAAATGCTTTGGTTTCAGAGATATAAGCCAAAATCTACATTTTACTCCTATGTTCTATTTTTAGCCATAGCGGCCATCTTGGTTGGTTGGCGGGGTCATCAAACACATTTTTTAAACTAGATACCCTAATGATGATTGTGGCCAAGTTTGGTTAAATTTGGCCCAGTGGTTTCAGAGGAGAAGATTTTTGTAAAAATCAAACGACGACGGACGACGACGACGCCGACGACGATGACGGACGACGGACGACAGACGCCAAGTGATGAGAAAAGCTCACTTGGCCCTTCGGCCCAGGTGAGCTAAAAACTGTAGCAACAAAGTTACAACACGATGAAATACTGCGGTTCCTGAAGAGAAAAAAATCAACTAAAAAAAGAAGACACAGATTTCGCAAATTTATGCTACGGCGAAAACAACATGTTTTCAGTTTGTTTTTTTACGTGCATGCACACAATGGTCGGTTAACAGAGAAATATGGGTTAAACAACGAACCATTGATATAGTTGTGCCGCTATACATGCGCATACATTATTTTTGATTCAATCGTACTAGTTTAAACCGATCTCTGTGTTCACATTTAAAGTAAGATCGGTTCACTTTAGATTGATTCAAACTAAACTACCTCTTTTGGTTTTTTAGTTCAGACAGATTAAAGATCGATTCAACGCGTTCACATTGGCCCTTAAATCGATCTAAAGTGAAACATCCCATCGACGTCAATTTCTGGATCCGTTTCATGACCTCGTTTCATTCATAAAACAACAACCTTATTTGGCAAGATAAGTTGTAAAATTACAGCCAACTTAGATATATAACTTTATATCCTCTATCATAGAGATTTGTTGTACATGAACAATATTCCTGCGCATTTTGCCATTTGGGAAATATAAACGACTTGTAATTACAGATTTTCGGCGATGAAATATTTCATACAATTGTTCTTTGACATCTTAGCCAAAAGCACAGGGGATAATAAACTACGTACAGATTTCTATTGAGCACGATTTCCTATTTGCAACTTCAAATATTATGGGTCGTTCGACGATCATTTAAGGTTATTCTGGTTAAATTTGTTGTATTCCAGAATTAAAAGTATGAAAAAAATGTCCAATTAGTTATAAATAACATATCAGCCTGCTAGATTATAACAATGGCACTTTTTTCAGCATTCGTTGGGAAGAACACAAATCTAGGGTGCTAGCATAAGGCAGCTTAACTGCCTAAAATTTGTAAGGGTTCCGCGGAACCCAGTGTCTCGCCTACTTTTTCTGTTGTCTATGTTTTCAGTGTGATACGGGAATGCACATAATAGATTTACAGTTAATGAAATAAAACGTTTGAAATGTATGAAAAAAGGTTTTGCTTGCAAAAAAGTCGCAGGCTCAACAAAAATGGGGAAAAAATTATTAAAATTTTCCTCTAGCATTTTCTAGATACTATATTTTGATTGTAAGAAGCTTGTGTCCAAGTTTGGTAAAAATCAAGGATGGTTTATGAATCTAATAAATGTTTTAAAAACTTTAACTGCAGACTGTATGTAATGTTAACTGGAAGAAAAACTAAGTCCATTTATAAGTAAAATACGGATAAACAGGATTTTTTTCTCACAAAATTTACTTCTGGATACTATTTAATGATCATAAACAAGCTTCTGTCCAAGTTTGGTACAAATCCAGGATAGTTTAAGAAAGTTATTAAAATTTTTAAAACTTTAACCACAGAGTGAATGTAATCTAACTGGCAGAAAAACTAAGTCCATTTATAAGTAAAATACGGATAAACAGGATTTTTTTTTTTACAAAATTTACTTCTGGATATTATCTAATGATCATAAACAAGCTTCTGTCCAAGTTTGGTAGAAATCCAGGATAGTTTAAGAAAGTTATTAAAATTTCAAAAACTTTAACCACAGAGTGAATATTTGTGGACACCGCCACCGACGACAACGGAATGTAGGATCGCTATGTCTGGCTTTTGCGACAAAAGTCGCAGGCTCGACGAAAATCAAAAGTTGACAATAGGAAAACTAAAATTACTCATTATTTCAAACAAGAGATCACATGCTAAAATGTCTACCCTGATTTACTACTTTTAGAGGAATTTTATGTTGAAAGTCTTTAATGTCAAGGTCTAAATATAGGGTTTTACAGAAACTTAACATCAATGATCCAGGTAAATGAAGTCTAGGTTAAGTTAACCCTGTCTGACAAAAATAATCACCTTGCAATCATTGTGAATACAAAATAAAGTTAACCTATATATATTGCTTAGAGAATCTGAGAAACAAAACTATTCATGAAAACTTAATCATGTTAATGTAAACCCATGAACCTGGAAAATGTGGTCAAGTTCAGATGAACCCTGCAAGAAGAACATGCAGACCAAACAATCATTTAATCAACAAAACATAGTTGACTATTGCTTATAGAATATGAGATAAGAAATTAAAAAAAAAACCTTACAAGAATTGACCATAAACCATGAATTGGAAATGTTCAAGATACAATGTTTGCAAATTTGTATAATTTTGCCACCTACCTTTTTGAGTTTATGTATAAAAATTTGTTGACAGACAGATGGAGGATTGAACAAAAGTGAAAATCTAGGGCTCTTACATCCTTGATGCAGGTCCTTTATTTAATAAATTGTAAGAGAGAAAAAGAATCATACTCACTGTTTTTTGGCAATTTGGAAAAGTCATACTTATAGTTTTCTCTGCCAACAGCACATCTTACTGATACATTTTCCTCCCTGGAAAAATACAAGACACATGATTTCATTGTACAATAACAATTTTTTTTTCCCATACTACTAAATTTTTTCTAAGAATTTGGAAAGTAAACAAATTGTTTAAAGCTTTATTATCAGAACTACAGTCTATTTGTTGGTTTTCCCCCTAAAACATTTGCACACCAGACTATAAGCCAATGACAATAAGTACAAATAATAAAGATGAAGGCATGAATAAAACACTATGCTTTAATTCTCTCTTTGTATTCAAAGGAAATATCAAATCAAATTGCACAATTCATGAGCAGTCAACAATCAGCAATGAAAAACAAAACCAATAAAATGCTCCGCTGGGCGCAGCTTGATACGACCGCAGAGGTCGAACCCTGAACAGTTGGGGCAAGTATGGACACAACATTCAAGCTTGATACAGCACTGAATTTGGATTGTGATTAAATATTTGACACAGCATAGGTTTCTGACACAGAATGAATGTGGTCTAAGAACTTAAAAAATAATTTAATTTACCTATTCAAACCATATCATTATTATTTGCTTTTATATATGAATCAGAAATAACCAATTTAAAATGGAAAATTTTAAAGAAAAAAAAATCCATCCCCCAAATTTTTTGAACCCCCTTATGATTCATCACCCCAAAATCATTCCCAACCTTCCCTTTGTGGTATGGTACCTTGCACTACAATTTCAAAAGATCCATACACTTGAACACAAGTTATTGTCTGGAAACTAGACAAAATGCTCGTTTTTAGGCCCCTTTTTGGCCCCAAATTCCTAAACGTTTAGGGCAAATACCCCCTTACTCAAACCCAGCTTTTTTATTGTGAAATGGAACCTTGTAGTACAATTTCAGAAAGATCCATACACTTACACAAGTTATTGTCCTGAAACTAGAAAAATGCTTGTTTTTTGCCCCTTTTTGGCCCCTAATTCCTACAATTTTGGGGCAATAACCCCCAAAATCAATCCCAGCCTTCCCTTTGTGGTATGGTACCTTGCAGTATAATTTCAGAGAGATCCATGCACTTGAACACAAGTTATTGTCTGGAAACTAGAAAAATGCTTATTTTTGGCCCTTATTCCTAAACGTTTTGGGCAATTCCCACCAAACTCAATTCCAGCTTTCACTTTGTGATATGGAACCTTGTAGTACAATTTCAGAAAGATCCATACACTTACACACAAGTTATTATCATGAAACTAGAAAAATGCTTGTTTTTTGCCCCTTTTTTTGTCCTAATTCGTAAAATTTTGAGGCAATTATCCCCAAAATCAATCCCAGCATTCCCTTTGTGATATGGAACCTTGTGGTACAATGTCAGAGAGATCCATACACTTACACACAAGTTATTGTCTGGAAGTTACAAAAATGCTTATTTTTGGCCCCTAATTCCTTAACTGTTGGTACCATAACCCCCAAAATCAATCCCAACCTTCCTTTCGTGGTATTGAACCTTATGGTAAAATTTCATAGAGATCCATTCACTTAAACTAAAGTTAGAGTGCGAAAACCAATGTGTCTTTGGACGACGACGACGACGACACCAACGTCATACCAATATACGAACACAAAATTTTTTTGCGGCCATACAAAAAACAAATTCTTCTCAATTATTCTTTCAACTGAAATCATTCAAATATTAACTGAATTCATCCAAATAGACAGGCTTCAAGAGTAAACTCATTGATATGACAAAACACACAAAAACGGCAGTTTTTACATCAGGTAATTACATTTATGAACAAAAGAATGTCAATAAAAAACCCTACAGATATGAGGTCTAAACTCCTGATCACTCCTGACCCAAATCCCCTCTCTCCTGATCTTAGATTTACAGTCTATCACATATTACCAGTTGACCATAACTTAAAAGAATAAGGACTACGTTACCAAATTTTCTTACATTTGTAATTTTCTTACCTACAGTTTTTATTATTCAAATCTATGTTGAAAGTAAATTTAACTTTGAAAAAGTCTCTTTCCCATGTCTTGCATGTTTCACATATAGGTATTTCCTTTTGTCTTTTGTCCTGGAAAGCAAAACATAACTATGAGACAGGTGTTTCCTGTGAAAGTAGACATAGTCTGTATTAAATCTTTGATAATTTTTGGTAAAAATGCAGATATACAAATAAGCAAAATTGTATGTTCCTCTATGATTGGGTACAAGTCTGTATAATTTCATAAAGGTATGAGTTGGTTAGCTTCTGGTACGAGTTTGTTGACTACGAGTTGGCACTGAAAGGTATGTTGATTAATATAGCAATGTATGTCATCGGGAATACTGGTATGCACTGAAAGTAATTATATTGCTGCAAAATTTGTTATCAGATATCCACTTTTGGGACAAAGAAATATGCATCAAAGTTCTGCAATAAAAATGCTAGAACCTTTCATGCAAACAAAAGCTATCAAATTGTACCTGTTATTCAAATTAGGGACCGATAGAGTAGGTGAGAAATTAATCATAGTATCTGTGTCATTTAAATGCTAAATATTAATTGGCAATTTTGAATGGCAGTAAATCATAATATAGATCAACACATATGCCTTTACCAGTCAATCAATACTTTCCAAATTAAGGGGGAAAGGGGGGTCCAGGAAAAGACTGTGTGTCATTTAAGTTTTTTTTTATCCTCATTGAATTTTTTATTGATTGATTGATTTTGGTGTATTAACAGCACTTTCAGCACTATCTACTATTTTGTGGTTGCCAGCTTTTATTGGTGGAGGAAAATGGGGTGCTCCTAGAGGACCAACAATCTTTAGCGGAAAACTAGCAAGTCTTGTCAATTGAATTTTTGATATATTTCCTTAATGAAGAGGAATCCTTCTGTAAATGTCAAATAAACTTTAACACAGAGATATGTCTCACCTATTTTTTATTTTGATAATGCAAACGATGAAATTAAAATAGCAATACTTTAACATGTAAGTTATTCAAATATGCAAAGTCAATGAACCATGACTGAAGGTCATGAAGCTAATTTACAATCTCCATGGAAATGAGATGTGCCAATGCTAATACAACTGCATACCAAATATCATTAACCTACCATTGGTAGTTCACCATAAACTGACCTAATCACAAACTAACACATGTAAACTAAGCAAAGTTTTAAAGTCAATAGACCGTGCCTTAGGGGGCGGGCCCAAATAATCTCCATGGAAATGAGATGTGCCAATGCTAATACAACTGCATACCAAATATCATTGACCTACCACTAGTGGTTTACCACAAACTAGACCTAATCACAAACTAATACATTGTTGACGCTGCCACAGCCACCGCAGACGCCAGAAACAGCATACCTATGTCTCGCTTTTTAACTCCATCAAGGCAAGACAAAAAACTCGCATTGACTCATTAAGCCATGTGTACGTTAAAATATTCATCATATTGATTACTTACATCACAGTAAAGAACACATTCTGGTAAAGGGTAAACCTCTTTAAACTCTAAAGTACCATTCAAAACATTGTTCTCATAGACTGATTGTTTACTGATTGATTCAATAGTTGGTAGAACTGAAAATAGAAACAAAATCCTATTTGTGAATAAGTTTTACTCTAAGTTCCATTAAACACAGCAATTACCTGCTGTAGTATTAATTGCCTACTTAAATGGGGGGATGGAAAAGTCAATTTGTGGTTATAAAACACATAAAGTAAGCATGGTTGAAAATTCAAAACTGATGCAAACATACAGTCCATGCACTAGTGAAATAGTATAAGTGTGTTTACAATATTTCTTTTCAGTGTGAGTTCAGAGAAGTTCAGGATTGATAAACAAGCCCCTCAAATTCCCCAAAACCAAGTAAATAGAAAACAAGAGGCTGTCAGAGTGACAGCAAACCGGATTTTCCTGCAGAGGTCAAACCCTGAACAGTTCAGCAAGAATGGACACTTCATTTAAGCTTAAAACTGCTCTGAATTTGGATTGTGGTTGAATATTTGACAAAGCATAGGTTTGTGACACAAAATGAATGTGGTCAAAGAACTGAAATATTTGAAAATGGACATTTACCTATTATGGTCCAATATCCAAAATCTAAGTACATTGTCAGAATCAGCATATCAAAGAACTCCAAAAATTCATTTTTTAATAAAATCAAACAAAAGTTTAATTTAATACCCTTTGGACCACAATGTGGACCAATTTGATAAATGAGCTCACAATCCAAAATCTCTCAATACATGGTAAGATTCAGGATTTCAAGGAACCACATAAATTCAATTTTTGTGAATCAAAAAAAGTTTAATTTTGGACCCTGATTTGGACCAACTTGAAAACTGGGCCCAAAAATCTAATATTTAAATACAGGTTTAGATTCAGCATTTGAAAGAACCCTATAAATATTTAAACTTGATAAATAGATATGATTATAATGAATAAAGTGATGACTAAGTTCTATAAAATTAGAAATGATGTAATTTTTCAAATTATAATCAATAATATAATAACAACAACCAGTGATGACTAACTTCTCTTAAATTAGATATGATTTAACACTCAAACATTGTTAAAATCAGCATATCAAAGAACCCAAGAATTCAATTGTTGATTAAACAAAAGTTTAATTTAGGACCCTTAGTACCTGGATGTGGTATTATCTAACTAATAATGAAAATAAATACAGGTTTAGATTCAGCATTTCAAAGAACCCGATATATATTCAATTTATGTTGAAATCAAACACAGTTTAATTTTGGACCCTGATTTGGAGCAACTTGAAAACTGGGCCCAAAATCAGAAATCTAAATATATGTTTATTAATAGACATCAATATAAGCTAAGTTTTGAAAGGAGTTCACCTAATCAAAAAAATATATATAGCATTCAGAAAATTAGTTTTTACAGAATAACAAACAATTTACAAAAGTAAAGAAAAAAAATCAAAAAATTTATTTAGCATTAATACAATGTCTTTTAAAAATCTATAAAACTTATCTGTAATTATCTTCAAAATGTCTAATAATGAACAGTAAATTTCTAACTATATTTACTACTACAATAGCTTTTAATCATCAACACTTAAAAACAGAAAATATTCAAATAAATCTGTCACTCAAGATAAGACATTAACCATATTGAAGACCTGTTGGTGGCCTTCTGCTGTTGTCTGTTCTGTGGTCGGGTTGTTGTCTCTTTGACACATTCCCCATTTCCATTCTCAATTTTATGTTTAGTAAACTGATTACAGGACTTATAAACAGGTGAAAATTATCTATTATAAGGCTTAGTGTAATCAAAATTTATGTATATAATTAACAATTGCTGTTCAAAGGAAAATAACTTGATCACAAAAAAAACACCAGGGGACTCGACTTTTATTTCATTTGATTTGTTTTATTGTTATATACAAGAAGAACAAGGGGACTCGCCTTTTATTTCATTTGATTTGTTTTATTGTAACATACAAGAACATATATGGTTTCAGGGTGGGGATCTTGACCGTTTACAAGTTATCAAAAAGAAGGGGGGTGGTAGTTACCCCAATGGACTTCCCCTATATTTCATTTGATTTGTTTTATTGTCCCATAGGGAACGAAAATCAATTTTGGGACATACAGCATACGTACTTACAGACAGACAAGGGTAAAACTTAATGCCCCCTCAACTACAGCGCAGGCATAAAAGTGTGGCAAACTGATTTGCCAAACTGAAGGACAAACAGACAGAGAGACAGAAAGACAGACAGACACACAGCCTACCAAAAAATTTTCAAACAATTTACCAATGATATTTCGCCAATAACTCAAATTTTTTTCCATGAACCAGTAACAAAACACCAAAATAATTCTCTAAAATTAGATATGACTTAACCACTCATAAATCTCTAAAATTAGATATGATTTTATATCTATCAATTAAACACATCACTTTTCAAAACAAATAACTCAAACTTATTTACATAAACCAATAATAAACTGTTATCACAGAGATATGTCTCGCCTTTTTGTAATTTTGATAATGCAAATGTTGAAATTAAAATACTTTAACATGTAAGTAATGCAAATATTCAAAGTCGATGAACCATGACTGAAGGTACAGGCTAAACAATCTCCATGGAATGAGATGTGCCAATTCTTATACGACTGCATACCAAATACCATTGACTTATTATAAGTTGTTCCCTTTAAACAAACCTAAACACAAACATTAACTTGTAAACTATATAAAAGTTTAAAAGTCAATGAACCATGATCAGGGATGGGGCTATATAATCTCCATGGAAACGATACTTGCAAATGCCAATAAATTTGCATACCAAATATCATTGACTTAACATTAGCAGTTCATCTTAAACTGATCTAATCACAAACTAATACATGTAAACTAAGCAAAAGTTTCAAAGTAAATAGACCATGACTGAGGAGGCGGGGCCAAATATTCTCCGTGGAAATGAGCTGTGCTAATGCTTATACAACTGAACACCAATTAACATTGGCCTACCACTAATGGTTCCCCTTGAACTGACCTAATCACAAACTAATACATGTTAACTTAGCAAAATATTCAAAGTCTATATACCATGACTATGGGGGCGGAGCCAAATTATCTCCATGGAAATGAGATATGCCAATGCTTATACAACTGCATACCAAACATTATTGACCTACCACTAGTGGTTCCCCATAAATTGACCTAATCACAAACTAATATATGTAAACTATGAAAAGTTTCAAAGTCAATAGACCTTGACTGAGGGGGCGGGCCCAAATAATCTCCATGGTAATGAGATATGCCAATGCTCATACAACTGCATACCAAATATCATTGACCTACCACTAGTGGTTCCCCATAAATTGACCTAATCACAAACTAATACATGTAAACTATGAAAAGTTTCAAAGTCAATAGACCTTGACTGAGGGGGCGGGGCCAAATAGTCTCCAAGGTAATGAGATGTGCCAATGCTAATACAACTGCATACCAAATATCACTGACCTACCACTAGTGGTTCACCAATAAATGAACTAGACCTAATCACAAACTAATACATTGTTGACGCCATCGCCGTCGCCGCCAACGCCGGAAACAGCATACCTATATTTATGTCTCGCTTTTTGACTCCGTCAAGGCGAGACAAAAAACCAGCAAAATACTTCTCTAAAATCAGATATGATGTTATATCTATTTCCATATTATAATCCAATTTAATTAATAGTTGCTAATATTGTTTCTTTCATGTGTCAAAAAATAATACAGATCTGCAACTTATCTATCAATGTCAAAAACTTTATCTCATAATAAAAATAGATTATTATCTAATTAAAAACAAGTTTAGATTCAGCACTTAAAGAACCCTATATATATTTAATTTATGTTCAAATATAACACACACAAACTGATTAATTTTCCCAGGGAACCTGCCCTTTATTTCATATGATTTGTTTTTTTGTCCCATACAAGGATATATATATGGTTTAGGGGCGGGGATCTCAACCATTTACAAGTTCTTAAACAGGAAGAAGGTGGAAATGACCCCAAGGAACTCACCTTTTATTTCATTTCATTTGTTTTATTGTAACATACAAGAATTATATGGTTTCCCCGTGGGGATCTTGACCATTTACAAGTTTTCAAAAAAAAGGAGAGTAGGGGTTACCCCAGGGGACTTCCCCTAAATTTAATTTGCTTTAATTTATTGTCCCATACAAGTACATATATGGTTTAGTGGTGGGGATCTCAACCGTTTACAAGTTTTCAAAAAGAAGGGGGTAGGGTTTACCCCTGTGGACTTCCCCTATATTTCATTTGATTTGATATATTGTCCCATACAAGAATATATATGGTTTCTGGGTGGGAATCTTGACCGTTTACAAGTTATCAAAAAAAAGGGGGGTAGGGGTTACCCCAATGGATTTCCCCTATATTTCAATCAGAAAACAGTAAATTTTCAAATAAATCTGTCACTCCAATGATTATCATATGCTAAAATATTTCAAAGATCTAATTAATAATGAAAATAAATCATTATCATATGCTGAAATATTTATAATATCTAAAAGAACAGAACTATGTTTGTTTAACATAGTACTCTAACATAATTAGTAATGTAATAATCTTCAGAATGTCTAATGATATAGCTTACTTAAGAAATAGATAATTTTCAAATAAATCTGTCACTCCAATTTTTATTCTGATATAAGACAAATCATCAAAAGATAACAACAGTAAAATATTTAAAAATTCTACTTTTGGATATTAAAAATGAAGATAACTCACAAAGGAGATATACTAAAATCTTGAAAATTAATAGAGACCTTCATTAAGTCCCAGGAAACAACATATTTAAATTTGAAAAAAATGTGTTAAAGAGTTTTCATGTTATTGTGCGGACGCTGTTTGGCAGCCGCCAGAGCTGCCCAGCCGCCCGCCGTATATAACCATTTTAATACCGATATTTCCTTCGAAAATCCAGTTAACAAAAGAAAAAGGGCATCATGTCCTGACACAAAACTACTATATCATGAACATACAAATTAGCAATTAATATAATAGATAGGTTATATTATTATCA